AACTGAGTGCTAATATTTTTCTAGGACTGTTGTACTTCCTGTTTCAGGGGAGGTCAATAACCCCCATGAGGACCAGAAGAGTGCTGCAAGGAGTGCAGAGGAAAAAAACGCCATGCTGCACCTGTAGAAGCAAAACCAAATGCCTTCATCTACCTCAACAGCAGTAAAATACGTCTCTCCCTTCTCTACAACCACAGCTGGCGCTGTAACTCTCCAAAGGTTTGACTTTACCCCCGAAGCCACACTCTTCCATTGTCTCCCGAGACAGAAAGATGCCAGCAATAAGGGGGAGCCTCTCTGTATATGTATAGAAAAATAACATTTCTAATGGAAAGCACTGAACACTTTTCACTGGCATGTTAGCATTCCATGCGCAGATTTTTTTTTAAAAAAATATACAATCCCTCCACACATCACACACACCTGCTGCCTAAAGCAGGACAGTCTTGAGCAAGTATTATTATTGACTTATTTAAGGTATAAACTGGCCATTTTTTCCTTTTTAAAGAGGCGCCTTCACCGCAGAAAAATGATGAAGATAAGTTGGCATCACCAAGAATGTACACCAATGCTTTTCAGAGGTTCCACAAAAATATGGAAGAAAGGAGTGACTGCTTCTGCCTAGTTGTTGTTGGCATCCATCTGTCTCGAGAGACAATGGAGTGTGCCTTCAGGGGTGAAGTCAAGCCACTGCATTAGCAGCAACAAAGTGACCTCCCTGGGGCACAAGCCTGGGCTGTGTATAGAGGCCCTGGGCTACTCAAACAACAAGACCCCCCTCTCAGACTTGTTGATGTAGTCCAAAGGAAAGCAGTGCAATACGTTTGGCACCAGCTTGACTGCAGGAGTTGCCAGAAGGAGGCATACAAAGTGTTGTCCAACCATCTTTGGAACCAAAAGGTTGGTAATCCACAAGGCAGTGTAGCTGACACCTATCTCTTTCATTGGAGGAATATGGTTTCTTGGCATACGTGTCCTTTCAGCTGCCTCATTCCAAGGACAGAACAACCCAATGATGGAGGCTGTTTCCACAAAATGAAGGGAAAATAGAAGGGTATCTAGTTGCATCAATTATAAACAGAGGAAGGAAAGAGTGATGAGTCTTCCTACTGATGTGAATCTTTGGCCTTCTTCAGCATCATTCAGAAAAGGAAAATCTGCTTCTGAGTTTTCTTTTAACTAAAATCCAGTACAATCAAACAAATGTTGAGATGATGGAGTCAGGTGGTGGCTGTTACGGTAAGCAAGCCCCATTTGCAGTAAATAACCCAACATGGCAAGTAATTGTGATTTTTGTATAAAAGGCACTAGACTCAGATAAAGGTTTTTCTTCTTCTTTGTTTGATCCTTTTCTCATCTAATAGAAAAGCAATTACCTTTCAACAAGGTACAAGCTCCCGTATTTGCACTTGGGTAGATGGAAAAACAACTCTTTGGCCTAGGAAAGGGTAATTTGCAAATACAATGTGGTTGAGACACATTATCTCTTTGTAAAGAAGGAATTTTTCATTAGTCTAAATAGAATGACGAGAGGCTGTCCACTCTTTCTTTTTGTTCATCTTAGCTTTAGGACCATTAGTTATATGCCTTAAAACACCAGACATCAAGGGAGTCCAAACTGGAAAACAAAACTATATGATTGGACTCTTCACTGATGATTTAATGATTATGACACCTGAACATGGGAGCAGCAAGACTTCAAGAGCTTAGCAACTTCACAATACTATCAGGCCTGCGGGTTAACTTCTCAAAATCTGAAGCTTTATGCTTCAATGTACCACCCAGCATCCAAAATTCATCCACAGAACTCACAGGCATTAGACTGTCACACGAAGCTAATATAGTTAGGAATAAGTATAACAAGAAACCTTAACAGACTCTATTCACAAAACTATCCCCCTGTATGGTGGACAATTCTTTAAACTGGGGGGGGGGTTGGTATTTTTCTATGTTAGGGGAAGAGGAGAACTTTGGAAGGAACTTAGAATGGCGTGTTTTAAAGGTCTAACAGCCATGCTTTACCTTGCTGGATATTTTGTGCTTTTAAATCTCTGCTGGGGTTATCTCACCAGAGTACTTGCCCCAAACCTGGATGTTGGCATCCAGGGAATTCTCCTCTTCTATACCTATTTTTTTTCCTTGCCACCAACAAGATCATCTGAGCTTTGATCTCCCTGCTGGGATGCTGATGATAGGCTGGGTAAATAAAGTATGCTATGTGCTTCATTATTATTTGTGGTAAGATGGGTGACACAATTGATTCTAACTATTAACTGAAAGCAATACTGGATTCCTGCTTTCTGCCACTGATCTGTATATTGTTTCAAAGCCTGTTTCCAACCGTGTGTAGCTGGACAGAGATTAGAATATTGGTGCCCTCCAATTCCAGACCTTCTTTATCTCTGATCACGTTCAAAATGATTTCTTTAGCTGAAAGATGTGAAAATTTTACCAAGATGTCTCTCAGTCTGTTGTTGTTGGACTACAAACTAGCACCAGAGTGATAAGCATTGTCAGTGTCAGTAATGGCAGGCAGGCATTATTTGATTAATCAATATAAAATGAAGGATTTAGTATCAGACATTTCTGAGTCTCTTCCAAGCCTCTTATTTTAACATTAAAATGGTGCAAAGCATTGTCTGACATTTACAAAGCTGGATATCTTTAGCTCAGTCAGACAGCTTTTAAATTCTTTTATAATGCTTAATTCCCATTTTAGTTGTTTCATTTGCTATTGCAGCAACATCCAATATTGTGATTCTGTCTAATCCAATGAAGTTTCTATAGGTTTTAAGGCTAATTTCTACTCTTCCTGTAGATCATGTTTAAAATCTTGCTTCAGTTTGTCAAGAAGTTAGCTCTAGTAGCATAAAACTTTCCATTGCCTTGTCCTTTTTGACAGTTTAGCTGTCTTGGCTACCATCATGAGCTTCTCCTCTTCTCCTGAAAGCTCCACAACCAGGATCAGATCTTTCCATTAAATGTAAGATCAGATATATTTTTGCCTTTAAATTCTTTCCTTTTGCTACATCTCCCTTATCGGCATTCACAGTATCACTGATTTTTTTAGTTTAAACAGGAATAAGAGCCTGATTTATGGCAACAATGGTCAGAGATAAAGATTTATGCAACCAATTTTGATTGGTGACATCCAGTGCTATTTTTCGAGGGGGGAAAGTTGCCAGAACTCACCATGAATGCCTCTTTTGTTCTCTTATAATGGCGTTGGCACCTCCCTGAGAGGTACCGGAACAGAGTTCCAGTGAGTTCCAGCTGAACTTCCAGACTTTGGTGATAAGAAATGTGACTGAAAATGCACTGGAAAGTGCATAACACTTGCTTGACACAATGTTGTCTAATCCCCCTGCAAACTAATTCAGGGAGGCAAATGGTTTTCAGGATTTTTGTCAGAATCCTGAAAACTGTTCCTTGAAAATGTACCTTTATTGAGATCCCGAACTGCAGCCTCAAGGAAGCCCAGAAAATGCTGTCTGTGGACCTTTACATGTAAATAAGCATTTCCAGACAAACTATCATAATCTCCAGAACAGTATTATTCAAAATAGTACCTGCTTTCTTAGATACCGAGCAGCTAATGTCTTTTTGTTAGTATTCATACTAAACTTCCCTACTGATAATCACGTCCCTGTTAGCTCCACCGGTGCCCGTTTTGTAACTGAACACAGACTGTGTAGTCTGTGCATCCCACAGGAAACCTAATGGGCTTTTCATTTTTCTGGTGCCAATGCCAGTCCCGCTTTCCCTTGAAAATGAGGCTGATGGGCCATATGTCTCTCCAAACTTTCAGCGTTGGCTTTGCTTCTATGACTTGCCATGGCAAAAACACCCATTTAAACTGTCAGCATCTGGCTCATATATGATTATGGAGGTAGGAGAAAAGGCTCCTCTTCACTACAACATGACAAACAACATCTTCCCTTCAATCAACTGGATAGCAAATGCTCTTTAAATAGGAGGAGATTAATACTGTAAACAGTGTGCTTGCCTTGTGCAGTTTGCCATCTTCCAGCTCCTACATCTAACGTGACTTTCTTTTCCCCCACATTCATGTCCACTAGTATATGCCCAAGTTAACAGGGGTCTTTTTCAAGATGCAAGGACAGGGCACGCTTTATCAACACCCACCCATACAGTCCTCAGTTCCTCCCCTCCAATTGCCAACAAAATGCTACTGCAGCTTGCATAATAAAGAAACAGCTTGATTTCACAAAACCCCTTTAACAAATAGGGCAAGCGAGAGCACAACTGACTCCACCCCAAAGGCATTAGCCACAATGTCCAATTCATAAGATTTCTGGTCATGCACTCTTCTTAAACTGAGCAGGGGACTTGTTCATATTTTCAGCACCATAACTCTACACCTACACAAATTCCTACATGTTTACAGCAACAAAATGGCAACAAGTCCCATCCACACTTTGATGTGACAGCAAATGCATGTCTACCAGCTGGAAGCCACAGTATTCTTGGTGCTTTTGCTTGTGTTGTATTCCAATTTGTAGACAGAGAGAAACAGAACAGTGGGAGGCTGCTGGGATAATGAGTCACACCACACATTGGGTCCTTAGTATTAAAATATATCTTGGCAGGCCTCAAAACTGGAGTTCAGAGAAAGGTTACCAAGGTAATGAAAGATAAGACTATGGATCATGCTCTGTTTTCTAGAAAAAGAAATATATACAGCACCTGGCCCAACAACACAAAATTTGAGCTAGCTCCAGATATCAGTCGGTAAAAAGTTATTTTGAGAAAATCAGAGGTGTGTGCTATGGGATGGGGTGGTCAGATCAGTTTTTGAGATGATTTTCCATTTTTGAAACGGGGGTCAAAGCTTAAAGTGTTGCTTGGTGTGAAGTCAATCTAGTTTCGATATTACTAACAGCATACTGGTAGCTTTAATTCAGCAGACATGTTTTCTGGAATTAAAGGAAGAAAACTTTGTCGTTATTTTTCTTACCACTTGTAAATTCCACACTTACCCTTTCTGCCAACGATCCAATGTCACCTGAAGCCAATGGATCTGTCACCAAAGATGTCAACATCCCACACAAAGGACTAGGCAAATCAGCCGCCTCGCCAAACTGCTGCTGAAGACAGTAAGGGACTATCATCATTTTATAGCTGAATAAATCTTAAGCCTTTCTTCAACATACACTTCTGTGACACAGGTGCTGCTTTTCTCCAATACACAAAAGTATAATATCTTGTTACTGGCAAAATGTTATTTTTCTCCCATTTAGCACAACAACAGCTACTACGAGTGTTGTCATTGTGTGAGTATCACAGGCGGTACTGGATAGTGCCTGCAACATCACTAGTGCTGAGCAACAACTCCCTTCAAACTAGATAAATGTGTAACCCTGTACAGCAAGCATCTACCCAAGACTCTGGGTTTGTCTGAGTTAAGTCTTGAGATCCTTTCCATTTATGGTGAGAGCAATGGTAAGACATTCCAAGAAGCAATACTCATTTGTGACAACTTACTCTCTGTGATTCTTCAATTTCCATCCAGAGTGGCTGTGCAGGGGCCTGTGAGCAGGTCTTCACATTTTCTAGGAAATCTCCTGGCAGCCTGCATCAAAAAGAATGTTAACAGTTCATTGTGTCAAACAGAACTGCAAACAATTAAAATGGGAGTTTACATGAACCTCCTTGGCTACTTAACCGAGGATCAACAACTTACCTTGTAATTAACAAAGCAAAATTAACAATAAACATTAACATAAAAATAACAACATAAAAATTAACAACGCTATTAGTACTCTTCTACACTAGAATTTCCTCTGGAATTTTCATGCTTTGCTCACTTACAATTTATGGGTCATCTGCATGATGTTATCAAATCATTGTCCTCCTGGGTTCTCTCTATGGTGATTCTGTCTTTTGTTCAGACTATACTAGCACAATCTCCACAGGGGTAGATCACCTTAGTACTATTCTTCTGTATTTTTCAAAAGCTGTACAGTGATATACCAGGTGGGTGCACCTATCATCATGTATCTATTCTTTCACACACCTTCACTATTACCCTTTCTGGTCAGTGCTACTTTAATAGCATGCTTATTTTTAATTACTCTTTTAATTCACACTAAAACACCTTTTCAACTATAGTTTAAAAAATATTATTAAAATATTTCTCCAGGACTGCTTGGTGTGTTTTAGTACAATTATTTTTAATGAATCTATAAAAACACATGCAGCCTTTCTGGTTGGAATCATTTCTTAATCGGTTAATTTGTGCCAAAACAGTTTTTTAGCTTAGCCTTCCTTTTTTATATATAAAAAAAAGTTATTATAATCCCACAATAGCACTGAAATAAAAACAAAACAAAACAAAACACTTTTTCCATTTACTATTGCAGCAGGAGATATGAGGTTTTATCAGTCAGTTATGAAAGATGGTAAGCTTGGATGCAACCCATTTTGTTTTTAAAAGACTTTCTGTTTGTATCTGTCAAAGACTGTTTAGGTCTGGATAACATTAGGATAGCGAGGTAGATTAGATCACCTTAATATATATTTTTCCAGCTCTGATTTTAAAAATCAAAATGACTCCTTTAATAGAAGTGCAAACCCCTGTCTCACTAAAGTGCAAAGCAAAATTATCCATGTTCGTAACACACACAGACCTGACCTCAGTGTCTCCCTAGCAAGTCAGAACAAATTATTTCAGATTCTTAGTGCTAGTCACAAAGAACTGGGTCACAGAACATGATGTGCGTGCGTAAGAGAGAGAGATGGACAGGTCTCGGAGAGGACAAAACTAATTTCTCTTGAGACAGCAAATTAAGCTGCATCTGTTCCGTTTCTTGAGCACTCCCAAGGTACAACTACCTGGGACCAAATAAATCATTCCCTAAGCATTCCAGCTCCCTGCTCAGCTGCTTTGTGGACATGTTAAGTCTTTTTAAAAAAGAAGAAGAACAGAATGAGAGCAATAAGGATGATATGAACAAGCTCATTTAGTCTTGGACAGATCATGCAACTATGAACTGTCCCCTCTGAGGAAAAAGCTGTCTGCTTTCACTGTCTGAATATCTGCCTCCAGGGGGCACTCAATTTTAACAGATTTACCAGAGCTTAATATTACACTACAGTGGTACCTCAGGTTACATACGCTTCAGGTTATATACGCTTCAGGTTACACACTCTGCTAACCTAGAAATAGTGCTTCAGGTTAAGAACTTTGCTTCAGGATAGAAATCGGGCTCCGGCGGCGCGGTGGCAGCAGGAGGCCCCATTAGCTAAAGTGGTGCTTCAGGTTAAGAACAGTTTCACGTTAAGTACAGACCTCCATAAGTACTTAACCTGAGGTACCACTGTACTGAAAAAGTATTGAAAAATTACTATTAATAATATAAATAACAATTTTATTCATGCATTTAGTTAAAATTTGTATCCTGAACCATCACTAAACCTCAGGGTGAAGTACCACAATTAAAAACTAGCACTTCCAAATACAAGGGAATTAAACAATATATGCTAAAACCCCATATGCTTCAGAAGCTTAATTTTATGCAATTAAAATTAAATGAAAAGGTCCTGCTAACAATCCTCAAAACATAATAGCTTACTTAGGGGTATATTTTGAGAATATGATTCATACAGAATTCAAGCTAATCAAAAACGGAGCATTTTGACAATTGCCAGTTAAAAGAATGAAATAATTAAATCATTTTGAAATTGCTTTTGGGATATATATATATTTGGAAAATTCAAAAGCATTTCACTGTCCCGAAAGGATAATTCTTAGTTTAACACAAAAAGGATTTTACAGGCAACTGTAACAAAAATCATAGAGCTATCCCTTGCTGGACACCACACCTTCCTTTATACTAGATACATCTGGGCTTGCTGTATCCTAACCAGCCCCCAAAACACCTAGCTTATTCTGGCAACACTTACACGTATTGGTCCTGATAGGATTGGGACAGGTGTTCTTGAAGTCTGCTAACCTCCAGTTTCAGTTCCTAATGGAGATCACAAAGAGAACCTGATGCACAAGTATGGTAGCTACTATACTAGCACAAAGTAAAGTGGGGAAGTCTGTATGGGTCTACCTTGCAAGGTCCTGTGTTCAATTCTATAAACTTTTCAATGTTTCTTTTTTTAAATGTTTATTGAATTTTCAGTTTAACATTTCAAAATAAACAATTTACATAATACCATTTAATCAGTGGCTTCCCTCCTTCCCCTTCCATGGTTCATTTTGTTTGCCTATTATACCTGCATATTTTACTATAACCATTTTAGTCAGTTCTCCAATCGTACAATACTCGAATATTAGCTAACCTGTTGAATTTATCTTAATGCTGCCAGCGTTTTCGACTGTGTGCAATTATTTTCCATATACTCAACAAAAGATTTCCACTCCTCTTCTTGCTCTCTTATTCTATATGTTAGACCTGCTAGTTCCACAAATTCTATCATCTTAAATTGCCAGTATTCCTTACAAGGGACCTCCCTCACTTTCCATTTTTGGGTTAATAATACATGAGCTGCTGTTGCAGCATACATAAATTTTTCTGACACCTGGAAACTTCTATTTGAACTATTCCTAACAAGAATGCCTTTGATCTTTTTGGGAAAGTTGTTTTAAACATTTTTTTCATCTCATTGTAAATCATTTCCCAATACTCTTTAACCTTTTTACATGCCCACCACACATTTCCAACACGAATCTGATTCTACTTTATACATCTTAGCCAACCTACTCAGAGTTAGATACCATCTATGGATCATTTTCATGTGATTCTCTTTCAATGTATAGCATAAATTTCAAATCATATCTTTTTTCCATTCTTTGAGGCAACTTAAATTATTAACAATCAGGATCATTTAGAATAATTTTAGGAAGTACAGTGGTACCTTGGTTCCCGAAGGGCTTAGTTGCCGAACAAATCGGCTCCCAAATGCCACAAACCCAGAAGTGTTCCAATTTGCAAATGTTTTTTGGAAGCCAAACATCCAACACGGCTTCTGCTTGAGTGCAGGAAGCTCTTGCAGCCATTGGAAGCTGCGCCTTGGTTTTCAAATGGATTCAGGAGTCTGCTTGACGAATTAAGTTTGAGAACCAAGGTACCACTGTATATTAATTTTGATTGATGAAATTTAACCTAGTAGGGAAAGCGTCATCCTTTACCATATTGCCAACTCTTTTTAAATCTCCTTCCACAGTTTAATATAATTATCTTGAAATAAGTTGAGATTTCTCATGGTCAGCCAAATCCCCAAATTTCTCGACTGCTCATCCATGTTTTTGACTAACATCTTGGTCTTTTCTGTGTCTATTTTAAAACCCGCCACTTCTCCAAAACATTTAATTTGCTCTAATGCCTTGGGAACACTTATGTTATTTTTGTGTTCCAATGTTAACTCCACATCATCTGAAACTTTTCAGTTTCATTTGTTTAAATATCAAAGAGTTATGTTAACAGTTTTTGCACTGTATGCATACTGCTCCCCATCCAATAGTCTATGTGTTCCTTTTCCTAGGGTAGCCTCTGCTATCTGTCATAGACTGAAGATGAGCCTTTGGGATCTACAATTGTGAACCTGTTATTCATCATTTCCCATTCCTTATCATTATTACCAAATCTGACTTGGTTTTTCTGTGGTCATAGAAATTGATGGGGGATACTTCTGGTTAATACACAACTAACTAACTCCAAATACAGCTGCCAGTCTGCTGATGAGGGCATCTGGATGAGAACATGTGATACCACTGTTGTAATATCTGCACTAGCTGTCCATCTACTGCCAAGCTGGGATAAAGATCCTCATATTGTCTTATGAAGCCCTGAAAAACTTAGGTCCAGAGTACCTTGGGGACCACCTGAACCCTTATATCCCTGCTTGGTGACTGAGATGGTCTTCAGGAGCATTGTTGGAACATTGTTGGTTGTTTCCCAAGTTGGTGAGGATCATTTGACAACAAGAAACCCAAGACTTTAGTGTCATCAGCCCAGTATCTTTTTAGTATATGTGCTGCCGAAGCGAGCACGTCATCAGCCCAGTATCATGGAGTACTCTGACAATAGAGATTTAGCAGGTGCCTTCTGTTTCAACTTTTAAGCTCCTGCTGAAAACTTTTCTATTTCATCAGGCTTATGCAGGCAACTAAGAATACATCTTTCCATAGTAGTTGACTATTTTCTGATTTTAACATTTTTACATGTTTTTTATTGTACGGTTTTACATATTTTAAAAAAATAAATAGCAGTATAGAAATATTTTTTATAAATAAATAATTGTTCACCCTAGAATGTAATATATATATATATATATATATATATATATATATATATATATATTCCTCCTAGTCCCACATTACCTGTACTACCATTCTGTATTCATTCAAGGTGACTGTTAGTTCTTCAGCGTGTTTTGTTTTCTGTAAACGCAAAACATAATCAAACATAATAAAAACCAAACAAACAAAAATGTAACTCAACCTCATCTCAAAACAAACCATAATCTTACAGAACCTCTGTCACCAAACTAATTTTTCAAAATATGGATGGTTTCTTTTCCGAACCAAGTTATGTCTAGCGATGAGGTTGCAGTGACACCTAGTGATCCCTGAATACAGAGGCAAGCCAAAGCTGTAAAAAATGTCAGAGGAAGGATGCATATAATACTTCAAAGATTATCAAGTCATACAAATAAGACCATAATGTTTAATCAATTATAACTTTAAAACTATTGTTTTTACCCGTGTGGAACTATAATCAATCAAATAAAAGTTGTGCAACTAATCACAATTAATCAACTAAGATTTGTTTAATTAGGTGGCAATGTAACGTACAAACTAGCAACTTATCATGATGTCATGTACTCATTCAGATAGCTTCTTTCTCAATGGAAATAGAGGGAAATTGTCTTCATGACACAGGTGGATGCTGCAAATGACTCCCTGTTCATACCACTGGAAACTACTACTCAGTTCATGGACTCACCAGTGTACAAAATTGTTCAATGGGCAACCTGTAATTAAACCCAGTGTGTTGACAGGATAGCAAGAACTCTTTTCTTCCATGCAAAGAGGTGTACAACTTGAAAATTCACCACATTACGAACAAAATGTGGTGCTACTATCACCTACAGTATCACTGAACCCAGGAAAACAGATACTCCCAGACGCTCACCTCCATCATAGCACCTTAATTTCAGACTTCCAATTTGTCATTTTTCCTATATATACCTCACCTCATTTAGGGCAGCATCTTTGCAGGAGATAAGGTTTTCATATTCAGAGATCTGAGACTGCAAGAAGAAAGCAGAATACAAATAGATGCCCTCAAGTTATAGTCACAAATCCATACTACAAAAACAGCAGTCATCTGACAAACTAGTTGAACATGGATATTTTTAAGTACCTTCATTTTAGCCTTCTTTGTAAACAGGTCTTTGATTTTACATTTTGAGCTTTCTTTCTCCAGAAGCAGTTTCTTGTTCTAGAAGACAAATGCAACAGACTTTTAACATTACTATATCCCATGTGCTGAATCAGTTTGCTATTACACAGCCTCTGGGGTTTTTTTAGATTAATAAGGAAGATATCCATTCTGAAGGGATCTCATGGTGTGTGTATATGTGTGATGATTTCCTGCAGGAGGTTATGTAGTTTCTTGTATGGAATTTCATTATCCATGCAGTGACTTGTATGTAATGGATGCTTATTCTCCATTGTGCGGTTGACAGCTGAGATTTCACCTGTACTCTAATGCCACAAGTGCAAACAGCAGCAGCCTGCACTCAACCACATGCCTCATTTTCTTACATTTGTGTTATCCTACAGCTGACATAAGGGACACGGGTGGCGCTGTGGGTAAAACCTCAGTGCCTAGGACTTGCTGATCATAAAGTCGGCGGTTCGAATCCCCGCCGCGGGGTGAGCTCACGTTCAGTCCCAGCTCCTGTCAACCTAGCAGTTCGAAAGCACCCCTAGGTGCAAGTAGATAAATAGGGACCGCTTTATAGCGGGAAGGTAAACGGCATTTCCGTGTGCGGCGCTGGTGCTGGCTCGCCAGATGCCGCTTCGTCACGCTGGCTACGTGACCCTGAAGTGTCTTCGGACGGCGCCGGCTCATGGTCTCTTGAGCGAGATGAGCGCGCAACCCTAGAGTCGGTCACGACTGGCCGGTACGGGCAGGGGTACCTTTACCTTACAGCTGACATGGCTTTTTTAAAGTCCCCATTGCCCCTGCTCACCATCTCCTGCACTTTATCCAATTGAACAGAAAGGAACTGCTGCTCTTTTACCTAAAGTTTGGAAGGGAATGTTACAATTTGATTAGCCTGTATGAGGATCCAGAATTCCAATATAACATTTTCCAGCAAAAGGATAATCTGAAGTGGTTTGTGAAAGCGTCTTGTGCAGATATATTATCCAAACAGGCATAAACAGTAGTTTCTAAAAAGCCAGCTGTCACAAGTTCATCTAACAAGCTTTATAGAATTATCCACATGCACAACACATTTGCATGTGTATTCAACTACATTAACTCCTTTCTTCTCTGTTTCAGAAGAACTGGCTGAGATAAAAACCCAAACTCTCCAACCCAAAATCCAAAATGTCATTTGAATAACTCAAACAAATTGAGACAACAGTGTGTAAGCTTTACAAAACAGAAAAGTTTACCAGAAACTAAACTGAAGCACCTACCAGCTGTCGGGCTTGTGTGTGCAATTTACTATTTTCTTCTTCCAGACTTTTTGAGAAAACCTTCAGATCCTCTAATTCATTTGCCATGACCCTAGCTTGTTCCAAGGCTGGCTGGGTGCTGTAATAAAGAAGGGTGGTTGTTTAGTTATAATGATCTGAATTCTACCTCCAGACTTCACTATCATCAAGCTATGTGAGAAAGATCCAAGAACTGGAGACGAAACAGGGGGTTGAAAAGTAAAAGAAAAGCTTAATCCAAACCCAAACATAAGTTGAGTAGGTAGCACTGTACTCAGAAGGGAAGGAAATAGGGAATGGTATTGAAGGTAAGGAAATACATGCACATCAGAGGGTACAGTGTCAGATTACAATAACTCCTTTCAGCACAACCAATGGCCCCTCAATGTTCCATAGATTCAACGAAGCTCTTGCCCCACTTCCTACAGCCCTGTCTTCATTACTGACTAAATCTTCTACTATTTGCCTTCTTGTATTAGTCATGATTAATGATACCAGGTCAAGCACTTCCAACATTTACCCTTTCAGCTTCCCCTTCAGGTCACAGATCTCCTCAGAGAGTCTTGAGTTGAGCTCTTCTGCAGCCTCAATAGTCTTTTGCAGCTTGGTGTTCTGCACTGCTAGCTGCTTGTTGCCATGTTGCAGATCTTGGATGCTGTTTGTTAGGTCTACAGCATCTTCCCTTTTGGAAAAAAGCAGGTGGGAAAATAAGCCAGAATTATATTTTCCCTTTGTTTACATCATGGATAAATTTACATCAAATCCTGTTTTTCCTTCCTCTGCAGGTGATCAGAAGAAGGTGGATAGACTTCACCAAGACTGTTCTTTAAAGAGGAAGAAAGAAAATAATCCAAAGTAAAAAACGTTTTGCATATCTATTTATATTAGGCCTCACAGAACTCTTGGAAGGCAGGAAAGATAAAATTATTATACAGTGGTACCTCAGGTTAAGTACTTAATTCGTTCCGGAGGTCTGTTCTTAACCTGAAACTGTTCTTAACCTGAAGCACCACTTTAGCTAATGGGGCCTCCCGCTGCCTCCGCACCGCGGCCACACGATTTCTGTTCTCATCCTGAAGCAAAGTTCTTAACCTGAAACACTATTTCTGGGTTAGCGGAGTTTGTAACCTGAAGCGTATGTAACCCAAGGCACCACTGTATTAGTGAAGCTGGAGATTAATCTGAAAAGCACAACATGTACAGCAACATTCCCTAAACCTGTGTCCCCCCAAAATACAACTCCATTCAGCTTCAACCAGCATTGCTAGTGGTCAGGGATGATGGGAATTGTAGACAAAAATCTTTGGGAAGTCACCACCAGGGCAAGGCTGATGTAGAGCTCAATATTTTTAAATGTTACTATTATGCTTTCTTAAAAGTTGAGAAAGTCACAGATTCATGTATCTTCTCCATCCTCCATGCATGCAAGCAAGCAAGCAAGCAAGCAAGCAAGCAGCATTAGAGTTCAAGCACAAATTCCAGCCAGGCAAAAATACATTGGGCGGGAGAGGAGCATGGCTCCAGAAGGTGTATGGCCTGGAGAGAGTTCTGAGGGCCAGATAAGGAGGCCTGCATCTGGCACCCAGGCCTGAGGTTTTCCATCCCTACTCTAACTACTCATCGTCTTAAAAGAAAATTCACCATGCCTCAGGTTCCCTTAGAATACTAACAATACAGACATCTCTCAGGGAATTTAATATTGAAACCAAGGCCATGTGTAAGGCAATATCTGACTACTACAATTACTAACCCCTCTTGTCGACAGTCTGAGATCCAATCTTTCATAACTGCACAGAAGGTAGAAAAATCAACAGCAATCCCTTTCTCTTGAGGGTCCAACCTCTTATATAGAGACCGAAACCTCCAGTCTTCACAGTTCTGCCCTGTCATCTCCTGCAAGTATTCAATGATTCGGAAGACAGACACCTCTCCTATAACCAGAATACAGGTAGACAGAATTACACAGGTAGGTAAAAAACTCAAATATAAAAATTGCATAGAACAATAAATCTGGATTTAGTTGTCTCTGCTATCTACCAATGCAAGCTATTATGATACATTTTATATGTCTTTGTTTCTCCAGTTTAGAAAAAATGAGGCATTTCTAACTGATAAAATCGTCAGTCATAAATATATGAACTGTATATATAAACTACACATATCTGTATTGTTTTAAAATACCCCATAGCAGTAGCTCACAAAGCAATTTTGCTTGGTCTGAAAAGTAATGTGAATTTATATTTAATTTTTAATCCATTGGCTTCTAGTCTCCATGATTAAAGAAAATGAGTGATGTATCAGGAACCAACTTTCAAGAAAAATAGGATTTTTAAAGGAATAGTAGCTTTGTACCACTGCTTCGCTTTCCCACCCACTTCCTTCTTATTATTACTTATTTTCTTGTCATTTCTTCTCTTTCTATTATACCTTAAGCAAAATAAATTTATGTAACTTTGAAGTACTGGGAGGGGTCCTGGATAATGTCTATCAATGAATGATTTTTATTTATTTTTTGCACATCCTAGTCAATAAAACTTTGTCTAAGAAGAAGAAAGTATTCCATCTTTCTGCTAGGACTTATTGTCATTAAAGCTGACCTGGAATTGTGTGCTTCTTCAATACAGTCATGTTAGGTTCACTGACAAAATGACATGTAGCCAAGAGTCTATAATATATAACCTGATGCTAAACTATTCTGAAAGGTATTTGCACATCTTAACAAAAAACTGATCTCCCAGCAGTTTTGAAGACTGATAGTTTTCAACTGATATTAAAAAAACTTTCTACCTGTTTGTTCTGGATCACAGGCCTTGAATGTGCATTTCAGAACATGTTCTTCAGAGCACTGGCCTGCATTCAGGATGATATTCTTGCTGCTGACGCCAATGCTGTCCTGTGGCATTGCTAAGGAACATTAGGAAGTAATATTTATATAAGTGATATTTTTTTCCTAAGCCTAGATTATCTGCAGACCAAGTCATCCTTCTGGGGCTGTTATGAAATGTATTTACAATCCCATTACTGAGGTGAGGGCATCTCAATCTGCTTGATAAAACCTTGGTAAATCAGCTGGGGGGAAAACTATGGTGGAAATCATATGAACTGCATGCATCTTGATTTGTCTGCAGGGAGATTTATTATGTTACCTCAAAGCAAGTGTTAATTCAAACTTTCCAGTGCATTTCCCCATCACTTTCCTTTTCATTAAAAGTCTGATCTTTTGGGGAAGCAGGTTTGTTCCTCCTTATTAATTATAACTGCGTGACCTGAATTTGCTGATATGTGACTGAATCCCAACCAAAAATGGCAACAGTCTGGAAGCGCCCTGAGGAAGGGGAAATGGTTCTAGGAGCAGATGTTTCTGACGCAGTTACAATACTGTTACATGACTGGCAGCTAGGAATGACCAATGCCTACTTTCTCTCGACAAGAATGCAGTTAACTGTCCAACTGCTTCATTTTCAAGTGACTTGTAATAAATATCCTCCATCATCACACACAGGTAAGTTCCTCGACAATCAGAACTTGGTTCCACAGATGCGTTCTTATCCAGGAAAAATAGATTATAAGGTCACTTCTGTGTGTACCTGCAACAAGCAAAACAAGAACATAATTCCAGTATCTGTGAAGCAAAAAAGCTACTTGGGTAATTAATTATTTGCCAGGCTTTGTGAAAGTAGCAAAATGCCTAGGTGAATTACCTCAAATTAAACTCATTTGGACTGCACCAAATGCACAACTTCATCTGTTCGAAGCACATCAGTCTCATAAGACTTTAAGGCTACGTAACACTATACCCACTTATCTGGGAGTAAGCTTCCTCAACCTCAGTAGTACTTACTTCTGAGTAGACATATATAGGACTGCTGTGTGAAAGTTAAACCTGGCTTAAACATTTCATTAAGAAATACAATGATAAAAAAGGAGTTACTTTCATATCTCTTTGTGTGGCAGTAGCATGGATGTAATGTAGTTGACTAATTTGGAAGGTTTTCTTTGCTAACATCAGAATTATATTAGAAAACAGTATTTTCTCTCCTACAGGGCATTCTGTGCTGTGTACGCACAACAGGCACAGGTTTTCAGCTATATCATAGTGTCATGGACCTTGGATTGACTATATGATTTGCCATTTCACATATGTGGAGTGACCCCCAAATTTAGGTTTATTTAAATCAAAATAATGTATAATTAGTTTGAGATCCCTCCCTATGGTGTGGTTTTAGTTGGAACAAATTGGGGAGTCCAGCCTACTGTGAATGGCATCCATGGGGTTGGCACATCTATCTTTCTTTTTCTCAATTCAGAAAGAAGCTGTTTTTTGGGGTGAAGGGATGCATTATTGCATGAGAAACAAGACAGGATAGATATGGATTGCGTATTTACTGCTTCACAAACCAGCGGTGGGAGGGCATTGGATGCAGAATTAACAAGTGTAGGCAGCCACAGTATTTAACCCAAAGTAAGTTTATTTGGTAAAAGAGTATGTATTAATAGCTGTGGAAGGCCCGGTGGCATTTGAAAGGGGGGTAATTAGGCTTTTTATTGATTTATTGTGGGTGGCGTTAGGGGTCTGAGGCAGGGGAGGAGGAAAGCTGTTTTTGAGCCGCAATCCTGAGCCGAAAGTTTGGCTTTGGCTGTTCCGCCTATGAAGGCAGCTCAGTTATCAAGATAAAGGGATAAAGGGCTGGTAGCCATTGTAATATTGGTCGGTACAAACCCCAAGGTCGTTGGACGGAAGAATCTTTTTAACCGTGACTGCTTTTTTAAAGACATTTTCAATGGCAATGGATTTCGGGTTATTTTAAGTGGCCTTAAGCTTTCTTTTCGAACTTGTGCCTGTCGCAACTGGTCTCCTCAGGGAGGAAAATAAATTCAATCAATAATTAAAATTTCAATCAATAAATAGCTCGAGCGTGCTTTGTAGCTTCAAGCCTAGCAGCTTAGCCATTATGGGCCGCCAACAGACGGCTTAAGCGAGGCCGGGTTGCTTTTGCTTCTCGAATTGGCAGCAACGTTAGGAATTGGGAGGCTATAAATCCACGGGAGATTTTTGGAGACCCTCAGCCACGTCACGGGTTAGGTCTAAATGTTCACCTGAGAGAGAGAGGCGTTATCGTGGCCTTTTATCAACTGGAACGGGGCAGATTTGTACAGAAAGGAATCTACCGTCGGGGTGGGGGGGGGGACGTGCAAGAAGGCCGTTTAGCGGGGACTCTTTGTTTTCGCACCGCGCAGCTCTCTCAAGCAGCCTTTATTCGCGAGGCTGAGGAAGAGCAGCCCCTCACACGAGGGAGAGAAGCCAACCGAGAAGGCGAGGTCGAAGCGTCCGAGCGAGGGAAGGAGACGCGGACGGAGAAATCTTGTCTCAGCGTGAGCCGAAGAACAAGCGGCGATATCCCTCCGCCGCGGCCTCCAGAGAGCGGGAGACGCGGAAAGCCGGACGCGCGCGCCGAGGCGTTGCTATGGGAGACGCAGGGAGAAAGGCGGGAAAACGCGGAAGCGGCGACTCTTGCGCCTGTTCCTTGCGCCTGTCGGTGTTTCCTTAGGAAGGTGGAGAGGCAGGAAGTTCCTCTGCCAAGCCTTCCTCCACCATGGAAAGATGTGCTCGCCTGCTGGCTAGCTCACTCTCCACCAAACTTTTCTAGCCAGCCATGAGCGTAGCCTCTCCTTAATCAATACTGTACAAATCTAAGGTTCTTCCCCCACCCATAACAAAAGTTTCTGGCTACACCTGTGATAGGAATTTTATGGTCTTAGATATCTGGTAATGTTCATAAGTGTACCAACCAAGCACGTACATAGATCAGCACAGGAAGAAGGCCAACCTGGAACCATTTGGATTCATAAACTGACCAAATGTTTTCTCTGCAAGGTCAAAGTGGGAAACCTCCCCATTGTCTCTTTCCTCACAAATCCTGTCTTAAGGACACATTTAAGATATGAATAGGGTGTGAGCCTGTGATCTGGCCCAGGAACTAAGTATTTATCATTACAAAAGACTGGCTGGGCTCCCCAGGCAATCCAATCAAGTAACCTGCCAGACAGGAGATAAAGAACAACAGGGGAAAAACAATATTCAAATTTCTGTTTTAGACCACCTTTTCTGTGATGTAGGTGTGATGTATCTGAGGGGTGGTCTTAGGTTACACCCCTTCTGTGATGTATGTATGATGTTTCTGGGGGTGGTCTTGATCTACAGGGTGGCAATTTCAAAAGTACATATAAGGCCTTGCACGCCATTTTTCTGGGTCCCTCCTCTCTCCTGCGGGTGAGGGGAGCACCCTGTTGCAACAGATCAATAAAGATCAAGCTTCCTAGCTGCTTTGCTTCTCAATATTCTCTGGTTGGCCTCTGTTATTCTCTCCTACCAATAGGGAACCTATATAAGGACTCTATATGGGCTCTTGGATACCCCATAAGAGAAAAGGGCGATTTTTGTTTACAACACGCCCATGTAGCTAGCTAGCCCTCTTGTTTTCTGCACCCTCCTCATTGATTTAATTATTAATTTCTGTACCATCTGTCGTCTGAAGAGAACAGAACAATTTACAGTACTGTACAATAAAAAGCACACAAAAATGCATGCATGCCTTGTGGGATATCTTTGGGAGAAGAAAGGTCTCAGGAGTAAACCCTACACAACATGGACGTAGCCAGGATTTATGTCGGAGGGGGAAGGCTTCATGTTAGGGGGAGCAGAAACTTAGTTAAGGATTTGTATTGATTGGGGGGGCGGCTTGGATATGCCATGCTACACAAATCCAGAGTGGAGTCCCAAAGACAGTTGGGTGGCGCCTTGTATGCCTCTTCCACAACTCCTGCAGCCAAGCTGGTACCGAACGTATTGCTCTGCTTTCCTTTGAGGGGGACAGCCCATAAACTCCATACACCACCCAGGCTTGCACCCCTTGCAATGTATATACTATAAGCAAGTCTCCCAAAAGCAACTCCTCAGCTTCCTAGTTCTCTTGCCACTTCCTGCCTAAGCTGAACCATTACCCTAAAAGTGTACGGAAGATGGGATTTTCAGAATGCAGATGTTCTTTTTAGCTAGAAATATTTAACAGTTCCCACTGTTGAATAAATTTCTTCGGTGTAAAGAATAAGAGACTTTGGTAATTAAGCAGTGTATAAATAGCTTAAATAAATAAATCTGCATTGCGAACAAAGCAACATTTGCACAGCTAGTGGTGTGAATGATTTAATTAATAAAAACTTTTTCTTTTTTGCTGAATGGAATCTAGAAATAAGTGGATTATGAGGGAAAGTACAGAGATTAAGATGATAAGCATAAAAAGGGTTGTGAGCATTGAAGAGTAACAAGCTATGTAAATTATGGGCCAAAAATAATTGTAATTAGTAAAAGCCAGGCCCAATGTACTGCCCCATTTCATTAGCCAATTGCTTGAGTTCCTGGAAATCTGCTTGTTTGGGATCAGCCATATCTTCCTCCCATGGCAACTGCCTTTTCTCGTCATAGTCTTCACTGAGCCCCTTTGGTTGGCCAATATCTTCCATGGAATAAGGAGATCTGGGCAGATTGACTAATGCTAGTTGGCCATCTTGCACAGAGTCATCATAATAAGCATCCTCTTTGTAACGACGCATCAGGATTGGCTGGTAGAAAGAGAGCTGTTGGTCTGGTCTACTAATATCCACACTGTTCTCTGGATTTTCACATGTTGAAACTGTTGTATATCTAGGAGAGAAAGCAACCGATTGACAAGACTGAATGAGTGTCTCTCTCTCTCTCATATATATATATATATATGCACACACACAATATATTTATACACACAGTGCTTTTTTCTTAAAAAAATGTTTAGGGATACACTCATTTTCCTACTCATATTGAAATACAGCCCCTCAATGAGGCCAAACTTAGATTCACAAAATGTTTAGGGGTATGCGTACCCCTTCATCCCCCAGAAAAAAGCACTGAGCACGCACACACACCCCACACACTGTACTTTTCTGTGTTTAAGATTAGGTTTTTTTACTTTAAAATTATGTGGAAAACTGTGGGTCATCTTATACACAGGGCAAATTCCCCCCTGTTTTCTTAAATTGGAGTCCCAAAAAATAGGAGGCGTCTTATACATGGGGGCGTCTTATACATGAAAAAATACGGGGGGGGGGTATCATCCCAGTCCAATCAACATTAATTGCATCTTGCAGAGTATCCTGAAACAATATGTGGAGCAAATGCAATAATATAAGACTTCATTTATTTTATCTTAAATCAGTCTTGCAAAACAGAGTACAATTTTATTAGCACATGGTTCATTGGGGTATTATTATTGTAATTAATTAGTAAATTGTCTTAATGTGATGTACAATAAAAATCAAAACAAAAAAACAAAATCCGACCTAGTTAAAAATGCAAGAAACAGCAGATAGACTTAAAACAAAACAAAAACAATGCAAAACAGACAGTCTTGCAGCTACTTTAGTTGCCGCTTTCTCTTGTGAAGAATTCTACAGAGACAGAATCCTCCTTACCTTTTAGCTCTGCACTTCAGCCCTTGGGCACATGGGCAATACTGGCTAGGTCTGGGAAAGGCTGTGAGGCTGCCCCAACCCATCAGTCCAAAGAGGGAACTGGTGGGAATCTGGCATACTTCCCCTTCCTTTGGATAAGGAGTGCAGACTGGGAACGAGAGAGCTGTGTTGGAGATAGGACAGAGATTATAAAGGATTATGTGTAGAAAATCCATAAAGTAAAATCTGCCTGGAATATATGCTATACAAGATACACTGGATTGGTTCATACGTAACACTAAGACAAAATATGTCGTGGCATGAATGAGCTACTATACTGGTGCACATTTAGAAAAATTCAGCCGCTTAGCTCCTCTCCTTGTGAGCTAAACCATAGTTAGTCTCTTAGCATTATGTGCAAATCCAGTCTTGTGATTTGTTTCAGTAGCCCAAACCAAACACAAGCTATAACCAATACCTCCTGCTCTTGGCTTACTGATTGTGATAATGAGGACAGGGGTTATATCAGGACCATGGTGTGAGAGGCAAAGATTAACTGTCTCTCCATGTGCACCGTGGTCTCAGTCTGGATTATAGTCCCCAGGAATTGGTAAAAAGGTAAAGGGACCCCTGACCATTAGGTCCACTCGTGACTGACTCTGGGTTTGTGGCGCTCATCTCGCTTTATTGGCCAAGGGAGCCAGTGTACAGCTTCTGGGTCATGTGGCCAGCATGACTAAGCTGCTTCTGGCGAACCAGAGCAGTGCACCCGTCGGAGCGGTACCTATTTATCTACTTGCACTTTGACGTGCTTTCAAACTGCTAGGTTGGCAGGAGCTGGGACTGAGTAACGGGAGCTCATCCCGTCGCGGGGATTCGAACCGCCAACCTTCTGATCGGCAAGTCCTAGGCTCTGTGGTTTAACCCACAGTGCCACCTGCGTCCCACCAGGAATTGGTACTTTCAGTTTAAAAGCTTTCATACAACTCCAAGTAAAGCAGTCAACATCACAAAATATGAGCAGACCAAATCCGAGAGTAGAAGGAAGTAGATTATCACACCGGAGGCATGAGTACATAAAAACCATCTTACAGTTGCTGGCGGTGCAACACAGCCCCTGAGCACACTTGTCCCGGCGTGGGTCACATCTTGTTCCGCTCTGACCACGGCTCACACCTTTTGCACACCTGCCCCACACACATAGGTATCCCAGACAGCATTCCCTGTCCTTCCTGCATATCTAGGAGACAAAGCATGATGACGACACAGCATTTATTTTCTGAAGTTCAAACTAGAAAATTCATTTAAAATACAAGGCACTACCAGTGAAAAGACCCTGCCTTATTTATTCAGGATATGCTACTCAAAAGGCCAGATTCTGTGTTTGCATTTCAAAATATGAGCAGACTAATACCAAAATTGCACAGGACCTTTTCTCTCTTTTTCTGATACCCTTTTTTTCTTTCTCGCTCTTGCTCTCTTCCTGGCCAGCAGGCTGTCTGTCAGAGGAAGGGCAGATTCCTCTTGCCGGAGGCCTGAACTGATCGCATTCGAGAGCTTTTGAAATTAG